CCCCCCCCCCCCCCCCCCCCACCCTGTGTGAAGTGGTAAATTCGTGTAAAATTAATTCCTCACAACGCCTTGCCCCAAAACAGTGGGTGGTTGGTGGGTGCCCTGATGTGGTTTGCTCCTTCTTTCCTATCAAACATCTATCGTCCTTATCTCCCCTTCTTCTTTTTTATGTTTGTTACTCTCTTGTTAACACCTGTAATCTTCTGGCGCTCATATGACCTTATGCAGGTGCGAGCGCCGTAAAACCTCTACTGAGACAAGCATATGTGACCTGAGTTCGATTCCGGATTGTGGAAAATATTTATCAAGTATTCCTGTCTTTCTGCTGGGATGTTGTATCCCTCTGAGCCCGGGTAGGCTGTGGCAGGCAGTGTCGAAAGGCCGCCTCCTGAATGATCTAAATTGTGTCGATGGGGGGCTAAAACACCAACATACGAAACCCGTGGCCAGTGGGCGTTTGGAGGGTGCTCTGGTGTCTTTTGCTTCTTCTTTCCTATCAAACATCTATCGTCTTTACCTCCTCTTCTTCTTTTTTTGTGTTTGTTACTCTCTTGTAACACCTCTAATCTTCGGCACTTGTAACCTAATTGTGTTGCAAGTGCCGTAAAACTCTTACTTAAGCAACAACAACAACAACAACAACAAAAAGCCTCCTGCCATTTTAGCACAATTTGATAAACATCCTCCAAAAACAAGCCTTTTTATTTGATTTCGGAGGTTTGATCAAATTATGCCAAAATGGCAGTTTTTGCCTCTGCATGGGAGGGAAATCTGGCGGGCTCCGACTCAAGTCTTTAAAAAAAGTTTTAGTAAGAGTTTTACGGCACTTGCAACACAATAAGGTCATATAAGTGCGGAAGATTAGAGGTGTTACACAAAAAAAGATGGAGGAGAGATCAGGACGATTGATGTTTGATAGGAAAGAAGGAACAAACCACACCAGAGTTCCCGCCAACCACCCACTGGGAAAGTCTGCAGGGTGTTAAATAATTGAGAGAGTGGAGCAAAGAGGAATACGGCGAGGAGGGGGGGGGTGTAGAGTGCTTTGTCGCAAATGTGATGTCTGACTCCCCTACACCTCTCTCCTCTCTCCTGTCTGTCTGTGTGTCTCTCTGCCACTCCTCCCCCTCGTCTGTCTCTGTCTCCTCT